TCTATTATTATTGCGCGTTCATCTAGCTGAATGTCAGCGCATTAGGTATCATTATTTGTAATATAGACACGTTTTCGAATAATGGTCGTTTAATTAAATGAACTATGGTAAGTCGATCTGGTCATAGCGTTAAACTTATTCAACGTGTTAAATAGATAACCAATCTGAATGAAATCTCATGTTTTTCTAAGTACTATAGTAATTAGGAAAATTGCATAGCTAAGTGTCTTTATGTAAAAACGAGATTTCTCGTTGCCAGTACGCAATGTGTTAATCGGCGAACCTCCGAGCGGGTCCGCGGCGCGTCGCTTATTATCGATGCCATTAACGTTCTCTGAAATTCGACGGGCTGATTGCTTTTCTTCCAGCGTAGGCCGCCCCCTCGACGAGCGTCTTTTAATCTTATTAACTCCCATCGATTTCTCGTCAAGCCCACGAGTTCGGCGGGAACTTCAGTCTCACACTTTGACGTATTATTTACTTTTTCTACTAAGCTCCTGTAATACTTACTATCGATAATTTCGAAGAAATGAAAGATTGTCCATATTGTACTTTAAGTGGAAATCTCATTTGAAGATGATACAGTGACAGTAGCGAATAGTCTTTCGCTTTGATCGGTGGACAATGAACGACATTGAATTTTAATTTTAACAAGGGGTTGACGACCTTCCCAATTTTTACTATACAACCTCTTCAGTGATGAATTCCCTTCGACAGCGACGATTTTCGTTTCCATTTCGCTGCAGTTTATTCTGCAAACTGATGAGAACGAAACAATAAGAAGACAATTATTGGACACATACGAGAAAGAACAAGGAGTTCAACGTTGAACTACATTCAGATGTCCTCCTATACTATAAAAATTAGTTGCAGTTGCTGACAGATTGCGAAGCAACCTGGAGTGCTAAGGGTCAAACGAGCAATCGCGGCGGAGGATCTTAACGCCGCAGTTCCTAATTCGCGGAAAACCCTGTTTCAACCGAGCGGCACTCGAAACAGCGACAATTGCGCGATCGAAGCAACGTATTAATCCTTCGTAGTTGCTCGTACAGAAGAGTCGCGACGTTTATCTCCGCGTTTGAAGCCATCGAGCGCGATTACGCGTGCCTCGGTGCGTCCCCGCGCGCGCAACGAGGCAAGTCCGCGGCGTTCGCGAAGTTCAACCGGACTTTGATGGTCCCGTTCGCCGCGATTGCTCCGCAAGATAAATTCGAAACTTTTCCGTCATCCGGAATTACTTTCCCGTTTACTCGTTCACGGGGTTCGGCCAATCTCCCGGCGAGATCTTCGACGGCCGCGCTCTCGTCGCCGACGATTCGCCTCGGAATCGTTCGCTGCCGTTTCTTTCGCGAGTCGGTTGCGCGCACGCGGCTCGCTCGAACGTCGCGTCCAATTAGGAGCCCGTAAGAAAGCCGTCTCCGGCGCGCCGCGTAAATATGCTCCAGCAACAGGTCCCTGTAACGCTCGCATCGAAAGAACGGGGACGTAACGAGCGATTCCTCGGTCGACGTCAACGCGGAATTTCGGAGGGGAGGGATTATTTCGAGGAATCGATGCGATTGTACGTTCGGGACGCGTGATAAATAGATATTATACAGTTATAATAATATAATAATAAAGAATGTGTGGCTATATGGGTTCTTAACTTTTTATACATTTCGAACCATTTTCATCTTGATGCAATTGAAACATTTGTGAGGGTGAGGACCAATTTTCCACTTTTTCGTATGATGCAAATGGGTTAACCTCTTGTCTGGCACTAACGTGTGAGATTCGTGACGGAGATGTCGAAGATTTTCATTTCTAAATAAATGGCAAAGCAGTTGTGCGGATCGTAGCTAAGAAACGAGAGAAATAGAAACTGAGACAATAGTCAGCTTTCTTCTAAGAAACCTAGTCTCTCCAGACTGCCATCTTTCTGAAGCTTCCTCTGTGTCGAAGGTTACAAGCAAACCGCGAGGGAAACATACGGTACAACGTAACGTCGGGTCTCGGTTTCGCGTCGTTCCGTCCACTCCGTCGCCATAACAGCCATTACCGGCGGTGACGGGGTAAAAATTCCCCCCAACGGATAAACACGATCACGAGGCGACCAGGCGAACGTGACCGGGCGTAAGCCGGGGAAGAAAGAGGCGCACCGCGATCGAAACGGAACGGCCGGCTGTAAATTACTTTTTCATCCGTTGCCGGGCGATAATTGAATATATAGAAGTGTAACGTTTCAATAAACGAAGATGAACTGGTTTTCTGGTAACGACGAAACATTAGTGATTCTCGAAAAATGAGTTGTCTAGGTTGTATCGATAATTAAGATTAGAACTACTGAGCGTTTATTACGACTGATATGTGATCCTTATAAAAATTGTATAATGATACTATGTATAATGATAGATACACTATGTATAATGATTCAATGATAGATAGGTAAGAATAAGTATCAATGAGCAACATAATCAATAATTGATACTCAAGTAAAGATTCTTCGAAGAGATGATCATAAATTGAAATTGAGATTGAGAATTGTAACATTATTTTTATTTTTCAATAATTGATAATTATCAATTTCTTCAGACATTCATTACAGTATTCAAGTGAAGCTATTTACTATCAAGATCATTTCGAATATCCAACGCTTTTATGATAATTATCACGAAATAACGTTGAAACCAATTTTGCCCGGTAGTTCTACCGTTGATACGATGCTCCATATCCGTTACACACGAAACAATACATCAAGCATTCAAAGCGCAGCTTCATAGGACATTCTAGGAAAGGCTATTTGATCATTTCGAATATTCAATGTTTTTAAGATATCAATAATTACGAAATAACGTTGAAACCAGTCATTTCGACCGGTACAGTTCTAGTGTTGATCCGATGCTCCATATTCGTTACACATGAAACAATATGTTAGATCAAGGATCCAACGGTTCATAGAACATTCTAGGAAAAGCTAATTCCATTGGTATCCTATTCCCCCAGTTACAGATTACTACCACACAAGTGTCATTACTATTACCATCGCAGAAATTAGCTCCAGAAACCCAAAATCCGCACAAAGACTCGCAGTCCACCTATTAAAAAAATCCTAGAATTGCTTAGCGTCACATCGAACTCATCAATTTTATTGTAAAACAAAGCTAGTAAGATTCCTCGGAAGCAGAGCTCGAAGAAATCGGCAGCCGATCTTAGGATCCCGTACTTCCCTCTCGCGAGGTCCATCAAGCGCACAGCCTCCACCCCCTCGCGCTCGCGGCGCGGCACCGCGAGGCCGCCTTACTGTCGCTTTCTGACCGAACGACCGACTTTCCGTCCTCGTCGGTCCTTCTTTGTGGCGGCGGCGACCAATGGGCGTCGATCTTTAGAGGTGCGCTTCCCTCGGAGCCCGGCGTCCCGCGGCGCGGCCCGTATCGCGGCCGTCCGCATCGTGGAGGCGCAGTCGGGCGGCCGCGCGAATCGTGCATGCGCGACACCCCGGTACGCGTGCGCCACCCCCGCGACTTATATCTATAAGGGCAGCTACCCCCGTCGAGGCCGGT